ATGTTCCCCTCCCCATTTTAAACCTTGTGTGGTGGGAGAAACAGCCCAATGGTGCATGTACACACCACACTTTTGCCTAGATGCGCAAGCAACTCTTGTGCTGGAGGTTCAAGGGTGAAGGACAGCTTCCAGCCTCCTCTTCTTTCTTTTCCAAATTACTAGTCAGCCAGGAATAGTGGCACAGGTCTTACAGATGATAGCAAGGTCAGGGCCCATCTGGAGGCTGTGGAACTACTCAACGTTTTCTTAGACTCCGGACTGGTGCTGACAGAAAGGCACTCACACTGTTCTTTGGCTGAACTCACAGGTCGCCACTTGCTGCTTTGAGGAATGTTTGTTATAATTAAAGAGACTTTTTTCAGACTTAGTGAAACATTTTTTTCTTGGTGATTTTGTTCGTTCTGAAACTAATTTAGCAATCTTGGAGTGTTTTCTATCTGAAAAGAATTAACCATAGTCCCACCATCTGGAACAGGGCTGTTTTTCAAGCATTAGTTCTGGAAGCTCAAGGAAATGGGGCTGGCATTTGTTGAGCTCCGAGGAGGGGCCCTGGGCTGTGTCACATGACCATTTGGACTGTGGTGGGAGCAGGCCAAAGGGAGAGCTCATGTGAAGATACGGGAAACTCTAGAGCCTTCATGTTCTCCCAGAGTAAGAAAGAAGATAAACCCCCCAGGTTCATCGATGAACCCCCCATGTTCATCATTTCTTAATCCCTTTATCTCATTTCCCTTCCACATAGAATATTTCAAAGTTTCTGTTGATAAATAGACATAACAATTGGCATATATGGCCTATGAAAAATACATGTAAAAAAGAAACTATGTTTTGTTTCATTCTATAATCAGATGGAGTATATTAAGACTTTTCTGGCAAATGAAATTTAGAATTTGGAAAAAATAGATGAGACTCTATACATTATCATGATCAGAATATTAAAAAAAAAATACATAAGTAAAAAAATCAGAAGAGGGACCAAGGAGATAGTTCAGTAGAATAAGTGCTTGCCTGGCAAGCACAAGGGCCTGAGTTCAATCCCTGGTCCCACAAAAAAAAGAAAAAGAAAAAAGAACAATCAGAAGAAAGTAGGTGTCTCAGTTACTCTTCTCTCCTTGCTAGGATAAAATATTCAACACCCAAAATTAAGGAAGGAAAGGTTTATTTACCTCATAGTTAGTGGAGGTTTCAGTCCATACTCAGCTGGCTCCAAGGCAGAGCAGCGCACGGCAGAGGGCAGCAGCTCATGGCCGTGGAAGGCAGCAACACAGCAAAAGCGAGAAGCAGCAGGAATGGCCACAGAAAGCAAGTCTGTCTCCCTTATGTTGCATGCAGGCTATCTGCCCCAGGCTGGGTGTAGCACTCCATCCACAATCCCAGCAGCATTTACACCCACACCCCCAGTGGCTCATGAGTCAATCACAAACTAGGAGTTCACCTCATGACTACGTGATGCTTTTGGGGGACAACTAGACACAAACCATAACAGTATGCTTAGGAATATAGCTCAGTAGTAGGCCAGTAGCCTGGGTTCAAGAGAGAGAGACAGACAGACAGAGACAGAGACAGACAGAGGCAGAGAGAGGACTCATAGTTAATACAGTATCTGAAGTTTTTCTCCTTTTGTCATGGCTACAGATGATGTACTCTCTTTTTCCTATTTCTTTTAGGAGTACTCTAAATTTCCATAGTGATATAGAAAACTTTTATTCTATTTTGTCAGGACCTGACTTGAAGCCAACCGCAGAATCCACCCCAGCACTGCAGCTGCCACGCCTATCTTTCACGCCTGGGCTCCACCTTCTGTACTCATTTTACTTTTCACATTTATTACTACTTTGCTTTTCCATAGAAGCAGCTGGCACCTTCTGTCCAGACCCATCTCCCCCACGGCAGGAGCCAGGCCAGGGCCGTGTGCAGGCTGAGCAAGCCCTGCACCCCTGAGCGACACCCCGAGCCCTGGCCCTGGCTTTCCTACTCTGCATAGTTGTGTACTCAGTGGCTGTATTTCCCTCCGTGTCCAAATCAGCTCCAAGCACCTTATCACCGCCTATCTACAGTTTTGCTTAAAGTAAACAGAGATAAAGCAAGGGGAAAGGGGCGGAAGGAGAGGGGAGGGAAGGATCGCGATGTGTCCTGCGCGCCGGTTCACAGGAGGCGTGCGCCCCATTCAGCATCCATTTCTGCACTAAATCCTGTCCAAAGACCATTCAGAATTGGTGGTCTTTGATCCTCTGTCCCTTTGAGGAAAAGCTGCTGTGTTTGTCTTGATTCAGGAAAAGCTGTCTGCTCCTGTGGGTACTAGAACAGGGGAAGGAGAGACTGCAGAGCCGCTCCGGGCCTGCACGCCAAGGAGGGCGGGGAGCCAGGCAGAAGACGAGTGAGAGATGAGCACAGGAGGATACAGCAGGCCAGAGCTAAGTTCCTTCTAGAGTAAGCGCGTTCGTTTTGTTGGTTTCTGGCATTATAACTGGTGAAACACATTTAGTGGTGAGAAGGATACTTTTCCCAACTATTCAGATGTGAAAAGGAGCTGGAACTACACACAGTTTTTTTCTCTGTGAAGTGACAGGAAAAAGCTGTCTGGCACCTCCAGTTTGGGAGACCTTACTCCTAGCGGGATTTGATTATACATTTTATACACATTGGGTGAAATTTCTCCAAACATTTATTTATGAACATACAAAAATGAAAAACAAAAGAAATGTAAATGGCACAGAGAAAATTCCTACCCTCGTAAACTACTTCTCAGGTGCACAGCGCTTTGATTTCCATCATTTTATCTAGCTCTGGTTCTCTTAATGTTTCTTTAGCAGGCTCATAAGCCAGCAAAGAAAAATCAACCAGCAGGTAGGAATGAGGGAAGTGTGGGGTAGGCAGGTAGCAGCAGTGATGAGGGCTGCAAGAGTTCAGCAAAATGTTTTTCTCTGAACATTCTTGAAGTCTTGCCTATTAGCGTTATTAAGCACCTATGAACAATGCTTGGGAGGGGACTGGAAGGGAAGGGAGGAGAGGGGAAGGGAAAAGACAGGGATAGTGGAAGGAAGGGGAGTGGAGGGGAGGAGGGGGAGGAGGAGGGAAGGGGAGTGGAAGGAAGTGGAGAGGATGGGCCGTAAAAGGACGGGAAGGGAAGGGGAGGGAGGGGAAGGCAAAGAGGGGAGGGGGAGGTAAGGAAGTGGAGGGGAAGGGGAGGGAGGGGATGGAGTGCAGAGGAAAGGAGAGAGAAGGGAAGGAAAGGGAGTAGAGGGAAAGGCAGGGGAGGGGAGGAGAGGGGGAGGGGAGGAGATGGAAAGGTGAAGGGAAGGGAGAGGATGGAGGAGTAGAGAAAGGGGAGGGAAGGGGAGAGGAAGTTAGAGAGGGGAAGGGAGGGATGGGAGAGTTGAGGGAAGGGGAGGGGGAGGAGAAGAGAAGAAAAAAGAACATAGAGAATTTAGGATGCCCTCTCCCCAATTTCAAATCATCTACCAATTTGAATTTGGAAATGAGAGAGAAGGAGACTGAACAGGAAAATAAGGAAGCATAAAAGATAGATGGGGAAAAAAAAAGATAGATGGGAGATGGGCAGTTCAGTGAGCCATGAATTCCCTTCAATTCTACAACTTCTGTTTGCAGAACAGCTATTAGAGTTTCATCTCTCATTAATAAATTGCATGGTGATCGATGATGTAGAGTGTGCCAAAGGAGAGTCACATGGAAAGAAAACATTCTCTCAAGCTTTCACAGAGAGCACATTGGCCAAGCAATGGCTGTGACTCATCCACATGGCTGACACTGACAAAGGTTCTACAATCTGAGGTACAGGATCTCAGGATAAATCCTGAGGGGATTTCACTGACCTTATCAGACCCAAAAGCTACAACTCTGGTTGCATAGGTCCTGCTTTACCTTGGTCTTAACCATCCAGAAGAAAAGTATAAAAATGAAATACAAGAAGTAAAGCCATGCTGTTATGTTGAGCTGTAGGGTAGTCAGGTCAGCAATTTCTGACATTGCCAGTCAAGCGGAAGACCCAATACTATTATGGACTACTGGACTCTTTTAGATTATTTTGCTGAGTTAACACACTTATAATATTCAAATAATGGAACTTAACCAAAAAAGGGGATACAGATGAATGTCCATTTTGTATCTGTGTATTCAAAGTGGTTAGGATAGATATATAGTCACATTCTCTTAAAGAATAGAGTGATTTGTTCTAATGGTGTTTGTAAATAGGATACCATGTCTGCATCTTGTACAGCAATTAACCACTGGGAGGAATGTATGCAGTGTGTTAATTATTGAAACTGCCAATTTGATTTGAAACTATCTCATTGCTATTTATCAATAAAATTATGGAAAAAATAAAAAATAAATTGCATGCCGAATTAAAACCTACTCCAAAATTTCCTTTTCACAGATCCTCTTTGTTCTTTTCTACCCACAAACTTCTCCTCCTTATGGGTTAGCAAACACACCCGGCGGTCAGGGGCAGGCACTTCCTACGAGGGGCTCAGACCTGAGCGAGTGTCTCCCAGACACTGCACCCTGCATATCATGGACTCTAGCTATGCATGTATGTGCACACACAACTGTTCATTTGCTTATATCATATGTATATAATTTCAGCAAATGTTCTTAATATAAAACTTCTTTTAGAAGGTGCTGTACAGTTTTGATATTTTACCAACTCAATTCATATTTCTTCTGAAACACATGGCACAAGCTCTAGTGAATTATAGTTAATTTTTCCAACATAAAATGCCCCAATTTTTTCTTCTGCTCCAGAAAGCATTTCTTGGAGATTAGTCACCGTTTTGCCTTGCAAAATTGGGAAGGTTGAGAGAAGTTAGTAAAGCAGGCTGCATCATGTGAAGTTGGGGTTCTTGGAAATGATCCTGCCGCCACTTGGATGTAAGTAACTCATTTTCATGAGTCAGTCTGCGGGTGATCCAAATAAACATTGCTCTATAAAAGGTAGGCAGCAGAGGGCTGATCTAGAAGGAAGTAGGAGAGAGCAAGTCACCAAGACCGAGAGGAGCTGCTGAAGCTGGCAGATGGAGCCCCTTGCTGTCCTGCTGTGGCTGTGTGTGGCCGCTTCCTCAGCCCACCCCCTGAGCAGAGCTGCGGAAAGGGAGGACGGCGGAATGGAGCTTCTTCAGGTAATTCACGGAAGCATCCATCCCTTGGGTGGGCAGGGCCAAGCGAGGAAACCGCTCTGCCTTTCATAGAATTATTCACTTACTGCATAGAAAGAGTTCAGGGACAAACAGGTCTAAACTTTCAGGTATAGAAAGGGCTTGATGTCACACCATTCAGCCTTCTCCTTTTACTCTCCAGAGAAAATGACGATCCAAAAGACTAGGCATCTCTTCTAGGTGGCAGAGCGCCCAGCAGAAGGAGCTGGAGCCACTTGAATGACTGGAGGATGTATCAGCCACGCCTCACTTGCAACGTTTTGGGGGGTATTTTAATACATACCGTTTCAGCAAATATTCATAGTGTTAATGTCGTGCTTACACAAAGGGCCTTTTAAAAACCCAGATCCTTGTGAGAAGCATGCATTGGAAATGGGAGGAAACTGAGTAATTACACCTGCAGTGCACAAATACATGCAGAAAGACCTATCTGGTATTTTGCTTTGGTCCTGTAAGGACACTGGGTATGCATTTGGATTTTCCACTTCGTTGCTTTGGTGGCAAACAAAGCAGCAGAGATTCTTAGCTCTAAAGGCAAAGATGAGGAGCCTGTCGTTGAACAATTACATGATATATGGCATTTATTACTTCAGTAAACTACCCCAATAATTCCAATACATTAAGAAAAGTCAGCTACTGCAAAGATTTACTATAAGTAGTTATAACTAAAAATCATAAGAATGACCTAAAAATGGTACTTATTCCACTAGTTTCGATAAGCAGGGTAACCATCAAAATAGATCTTAAAATGTAAGTAAATGAGGGAAAAAATAGCAAGAATTATTTACAAATTATACTTACTATTTCATCAGCAATACCTAGAAAAGTACTACAACCTTGGAAAAGGTCTGAAGCAGTTTGTTATAAGACAGAACAACAGTCCTTTGGTTAAAAAAATCCAAGAAATGCAGAAGTTCCTTGGGCTGGAGGTGACAGGGAAGCTGGACTCGGATACCTTGGAGGTGATGCGCAAGCCCAGGTGTGGGGCTCCAGATGTGGGCCAGTTCAGCACCTTTCCCGGCATGCCCAAGTGGAGGAAAAACCACCTCACTTACAGGTAAGGCGTCCAAAGGGCTTTAACACAGTACGGAATTTCACCAGCTGCGGAAATATACCACCAGGTGAAAATCCTTCCTTCCTCATTGTTCTCATGCAGGATTGTGAACTACACACCAGATTTGCCACGAGAGGCTGTGGATTCTGCCATAGAGAAAGCTCTGAGGGTCTGGGAGGAGGTCACCCCACTCACGTTCTCCAGGATGCACGAAGGAGAGGCCGACATAATGATCTCGTTTGCAGTTAGAGGTAAAATCCAAATCAGAACGAAACAAAAAGCACCTGAAATGCATCTCTTTATCTGGTGTTGTTTTATTACAAAAGACAACAGGGCCTAATAACCTTATCCAATTCTTCTTCTTCTTCTTCTTCTTCTTTCTTCTTCTTTCTTCTTTCTTCTTTCTTCTTCTTTCTTCTTCTTCTTCTTCTTCTTCTTCTTCTTCTTCTTCTTCTTCTTCTTCTTCTTCTTCTTCTTCTTCTTCTTCTTCTTCTTCTTCTTCTTCT